TGTTCTCACATATTATGCTCCACCATCAACACTGTTGCTGTCAGATACAACTGTGACAGCAGGATAAGTCTACAGCTCTGCTTGCCTATCTGTACTCCCTACACACCACTGATTATAATGTACACAAGCAACACCACAGACAAATGAAACGCATGTGGTTCTATGTTTTAGTCGTCAACTTGTGGGTTGTTCAGTTCAGCTATATACAACTGCCCACATGTACACACTCACTATAATGAGTGGAGTGTTGTCTGCTGCTCGTTGACTTTTTCCGTCTGTTCCTATCCCACACACTTTGTGTACACAGGATGTCATCCAACTCTGCTCGGTAAACACAACTTTATTGAAGCCTGATTGGCCTATGAACAGTCAATATCGCTGCTCCCTGATTATTTCTGCCAGCCATATTGCCCTGGGGCCCTGTTCCACAAAGTGGTTTTTCAGGAAAACTTTAAAAGTTTGTTCACCCTGAGATGAGGAGAACTCTTTTTTTCAAATTCAGAAGATCACGTAACCTCAGTTACCTCAGTTATTTGTTGACGACTCTGCACTGCACTGCAACCTGCACTGTTAAGAGTGGCAGTTTCCAGCAAACCCTCTGGGTCACCTTTAACTTGCCTTGTTTGTGAATTTCAATGTGTGTCAGCGACAAAAGGTCGGTCAGTGTGTCAGGAGCAGAGTCATAGACTCTTCACCACCTCTGTGGATCAAAAGCCACAACACACAGGAGTAGTGTTGTGGCACCAACAAACGCGACAGGACACAACTTTCTAAATTAAATAATATCCACAAACCAAGAAAGCTGATTGTCAGTTTACGGTCAAGTTGTGACCATAAAAAATAACTATTAGTAGTCTAACTTGTGGTAAAACTAATAAATGGACAGTTCCCTTCACCTGGGGAGGACACTGACCAGATAATCAACAAAACAAAAGATTGACCCTTTACCTTCTTTCAGTTCAAGTAAAGCTTGTACGCTTTCAGGAACCAAAACATTTTAACAGTTTTTAGACAAAGATAAAACAATGATGCTAAACACTGGAGGCAAGACATTTGAGGATCTACAAGAATGTGGAAGACACTGAAGTGTCTCTGCTGGTTAGTTAGTGATAATGTGAGAGGATGGTCAGCATCAGTTGAGTCATCGAGGTCATCCAGGATATTTACAAGAGAATATTTGAGTTCTTATCAGTTTTGAACCTGTACTATATTGACATATTATTTAACAAAGAAATATTACGTGAAATAGAGATGGTTTATTTCAACATACAGAATGTATGTAAATTCAGATTCTGGATTTTATTGTTCTGTTCAGTAATTGTTTCTGGGCACCACTGAGTACAAAGTTCATTTTCATAATCTCAATCTATTTCTATTCCAGCGAATAATCCCTTCTGTTGCCAGAAATTCGCATTATGTGTGTTTGTGTGTGTGAATGTTTGTACTTCTATTACCCCTGAGCCATGTTTTGTACACAATGTGTCTTTTTACTACAGCCACAGTCACTCAGTGAGCCAGTTTGAGCTCTGCTTTGAGATGTCAAAGTCAAAAACCACTGAATGCAACTAGTTAGGGCCGAAGAATAACACAATATATATTTACCACAATATAATTTTAATCAATGGCAATATAACAAAAGTCTAAAAGGGATACGATCTGTAAAATATTTTGCTGCTGTTAAACTTTTAACATTTATTGTATTTAATTGTAGAAAAACTGATAAATGTTTTAATCTATATATAATTTTTGGCAGTATCATGCAACACTACAAATTAATATTAACTGTAAGTTTAAGCAAAAGCCTCAGAGGCTGCAAAAATACAGGTGTGTGATGATGTTAAGATAAGATGTACCTTTGTTGAGCTTCCGCAGTTTTTCTAAATGTGCAACATAAAGATCACAAAACAGGATGTGTTATTGTGCAGTTTGTCTGAATTCTTGGAAACATAGGATGTGCAGCAGTTACTGAGTATGTATCTCCCCCCCCCCCACACACACACACACACACACACACGCACACGCACACACACACGCCTGTGCATTTGTATAGGCTACATCCAATCCTGCACTTGGCAACTTCCCTGCTGGTGACCCACTTTCAGTCCAGCTATAGTTAGACCAACCTGAACTGTGACCAGGATCTAAAAGGTCAATATATCTATATATATCTATATCTATATATATGTATATATATAGAGAAACCACAGTCTTTATGACAGATTTAGAGAAAATTACATTTCAAGAACTGACATTTTCTCAATTTAGTTTTGGAAAGGACTCCAGAAGATTTGCCAGTTCAGATCTTGGCCACAGCTCAGACCAGCTCTACTTTATTCCAGCTGTTTTATTTTAATGCCAAACCCTGCAGGAGGGGAGCGCATCCCAGGACCCCCTCTCATATTACACTGTGGTCACTCACAGACAATGCACTCCAGCAGCCCCTTCACGTGGACGCATCCAAACTTAGCAGTGAGGATCTGAGGAGCGTGTTTCAGCAGAGATCGACTGTGCACCCCACTGAATCAAACACATCCATGAGCTGCTCGTTAGAAAGCGATCAGATTCCGCTTCGAGCGAAGGGAACATGTGGTTTTCAGCGTGGACGCACGGACACGCGTTGCCTCAGAGCTTTCCAAGAGATGCCCGCACGCCGAAAACAATCCGACCAACAGACTGATACTCGAAGTTAGTCATCACACACCGTTAAACCAAACGCATGTGGCTGCATAAGTAGTTCTTTACCTTGGAGATCTTGCAGGAGAGCATGGAGCAGTGATCCAAGACCGCGAGCTTCCCTCAGAGGTTTTAAAAAGTGGAGGAAAACTAACTGTGTCGACGCTGATGGTGGACGAGCTGCTGTGTGTTTCTCGCCAGGTGGTTTGGAGGATTTTAAGTTTTCGGGTTGGCGTGTTTAGCGAGTGTAAATGGAGAGGGAGAGGGTACACCGGGAGCCCCGCCTACTCATTGCTTTTACAGTTGTCGAGCAGCCATGAGCTGTAGCTAGAGACCACAACTACCCCAAGTGGCGACTGGAGGAGAGAAGTCAGGGCTGTGATTTCACCTTGATGTCTGGTTTGATCATCAGTCAAGTAGGGAGAACTTTAAATAACATCTCAGCTCACTTTCTATAAAAGAAATCTTTCAAATCAGTGAGTGATCCTATTTCATTCTGCAGAGAAGAGATTTAAAATGCTCATTCATAAATTGAAGCTCACTAGAAATGCACTGTAAACAGTCCCTTGATGAAAGCACATTTAAGATCACAGGTTTTTTTGCATCAAGATCCATGAATAATTCCCCAAGAAAACTCTGAAAATGTTGAAAAACTCTCTCAAACTGGATCCAGACCTGCATTTAACAGATTCTTTCCCGACACATACTTCATCCTTCCAGCAAGTTTCCTGGAAATTCGTCCTTTTTTGTGTAATCTTGCTAACAGACACAGACAAAAACAACCTCCTTGGTGGAGGAAGTAAAAGTGGACTTCAGTCTCAACAACCCCAGTTCTCACCTGAAATGCAAAATCAAAAGTCTACATCAATCTTTCAAATGAATATTTTATTCACAGGCAAACAGAATACTAAAACATAAAGTCTTACAAATGTAATCACAAAGCTTTCAGCTCTGGCAGGGTCATGAGGACAGTCTGTTGGGTGCAGGGGAGAGCTGCTCTAGAGACAAGTTGTCTCTCTGGTAGGTTCTACCACCTACAAACATTCTTTTGGCACATACGGAAAAGTATGTGAGGGAAGGAGGCTGAATATAGTGAGAAGTGATTTTTCTGAACAGTAATCCATATCAACAAATGTTTACTACTAATAAATTATGCATTTAAAACATTGCTGCTGTTTCGAGCTGACAACAAAAGGCCTGATTTCAGCATCAGTCATGTGCTGATAGGTGTGCCCGGACACCTTTCTGTACATTATTCACAATATTTACAAGTATTTTCAGTCAAGTCTCTCACACGTTGTTCCGATCTCATGGCTTAAGATGGGCTGAAAATACCAGGAGATAAATGAGCGGTTGCTGTTCAGACGTCTTCTATGACATGGCCTCCAGAAATGGTTTGATGTCTTTAATGCCGTGCTCTGCTGCCACAGCGACGATGTGGTCCAGGGCGTTCATGCGGGCCAACATCTTCACAACCTCTCTGACTTGATCCCTGTTTTATTAGAATAAGTGTGAGCACATATCCAAAGAATTACAACACAACTTTAAGATACTGATCTAAAGAGTCATTTATGTAAATTGTTCTTTTTGAGTATTTTAATCCTACTTCATGCACTTAAAATACTATTATTCCAGCACATAGAGCTCAAAATGAATCCTTCATCCCTGAACTGACAAACACTCTAAAGCTGTATATACAGAACCAAGCAGAGTGTCTTACTTGGCAGTGCGCCGCTCCACATCAGACAAGCCAACAGTGCCGCGGTGCAGTGTGCTTGCCAGGTGGGTGAGGTACCGACAGAATGGCTCCAATTGAGGCAACGTCTGCTGGCCCTTCAGCCCAGAGAACCAATGCACGGGCAAACACTCCACCACCTGAGAAAGGTACAAGGAAGAGTTAAATGCAAACTGTGGGACCCTGTCTAGTGAGTCATAAATCCGAGCAGCAGAGCAGGTGCATTTGTCAGCTGCTGGCAGTAAAAAAAAAAAGAAGGTACAGACGTGAAGACCAGACGCTCTCATTGACCTGGGCTGAGAGAATATGACTATAAAAGACTAACTCTTCTCAAACTGTCGGCTCCAGGACAGGAATCGGTTTCCATTGCTCAAGAGGCTAAGAAGATAGTATCTATATTTAGACATGGTGTCTATTAAACACAGTAAGTCTCTGGAATCAGTTTGAAACCGTTAAGAATATATAAAAATTAGGGTATGGAAATCTGAAAGCAAAGTTTTTATACAAATTACAGATTTATAGTTAATAAAACAAGTTAGCATCAATTTTCACTCTGCAAGTTTGGGACTGACATAAGGGAGCGAATTTGTTTAAGTGGTAGAGCAGGAAATCATATCATCATTTTCTAGTTCTGTACTTGACCATGAAGTCAAAACATCTGAGAAAGGAGATTCTTCTGTCTGGTTGCACGTTCCCTCTGAGCCTGCTAGTTATAATGGAGACTTCTTTTATCAGCGTATTATCACTGAACTAGATGTATGGAATTCATATTATTGTAAATATGTAAATGGAGATGTAGACATGACCATGGAGCTGTCACAGTCATTGTAAAAAAGTTATGCAGTAGGTCATATTTTATGTTGAGAACGGTATGTAACAGGATATACAGAGTGGAAAGTCACCCCATCCCATTCTACTGACTGAAATATACCAAACTAACTTGTATACAAATCCATGAAGACCAATGAAACCTTGTATATGTTGACCTTTTCAAAGTGTGTGGAAACAAGCAGCAGTAACTAATTTCCCCTTAATATCTATGAAATCATTGTATTTATTTTAAAACATAAAACAAGCAATCCCTTCTTAGATTCCCCCCCCACCTTAATTTAAAAATAAGTTATTCACTGACAGAAAAACTGATTCAAATGATTGCTTCAAAACAAATCGTGTATCTGGCTACATGCACAATTCAGTATGTTTAAACATGCATGAAATGGTAAGAAGATGGCATGCATCTCCCACCTTCTGGCACTTCTCAACATTGTCTTCCACTGTTTCTGTGGTCTGCAGTGCAGAGAGGATGTATCTGTTGACTGTGCTATCCAACGCCAGGTCCTTCAGGCAGGAAATGGATAAGATGCCTTCCCACTGCAGGATGTTGCCCAGCAGCTGCACAAAGTTGGAACAAGAGCATCACAGCACAAAATGTTATCGTCACAGTAGTTGTTTGCTGTAAATGTTGCAATCAGTGCTTACTGTGCAAATCAATGACCTGCATGCAGACAGATGAAAGCAGTTTTCGGACGTGAACTCTGGAAAATGTCTGAAAAATTGGGTCCAGACATTTTCCAGAGTTTGCCTTTCACATACTCGTGTCTGTCAAGTTCTAGAAACATCATCAACACAATCACTCACTCGCTGTCTACTATGACGTATTCTCACATGGGCTAACTCAAGAAATAAAACACATCTATATTACATCCGGTGACCAATCTTAAGTCTCCTCTTTAAATCAGTCAGTTGAGATTCAGACGAGAACAATGAGTGTGTCCACAAACCTTCACACAGGACCAAAACTGCCTGTGGTAGAATAAGTAGGGACCAGAGTTCTTGTTCTCCAACACACTGAAAAGAAGCAAAACACACTTTCACTCAGTAATCAAATGACATACAGACGCAGAAAAAACATCTTGACTACGTGTAATATGAACATTTTGTAACATACCTTTTGGGATAGAGTGGAAGGAAAACGTCTTCATCCAGAGTCCGTCTGGTCCTCAAGACAATAGATTTCAAAAGTTCCTGATAGAAAGAAGAAACCAAGATGACAATATTTTCTACCACATAAGCCAAGGTAGTCTATTACTTTACAGATGAAGTACATGTGTATGTACAGAGTATGAGAGTGGACAGTACCTCAGTGTAGCGATTGTCCCCATGCAGCACAGTGGGGTAACCTTTCATGAGTCTGTGAATGAAGCCCACCAGCTTGGCTGTTTGACTGCTGGATAGCGGGTCCCACACTTGCTCCGTCAACACTGACACAAACATCAAAACCCAAACATGAACACATATGACATTGTTTTACTGGCCTGCACTTTTAGGCCAGGGTAATCTTTCACAGGATACTACAGTAGGTGCTGCGCTGGTTCCCCTACCTGTCAGTTTGGAGAGGATGACCTTCTCTACGATAGCAGGCAGCAAACTGGCGTCTCCATCTCCTTTCTGCAACGTGCCGTTCTCCTCAAAGCCGTAAAACAATAGCGACTCAAACCAGAGCATGTACTCGAAGTTTGCACACTGTGCCTGCAAGAAAGACAAGACACAAAATATATTTCAGAACTTCATACAACCCTTTCAGAGAAAGAAAATGTTGAAAACACACATATTTGGACTTGCTGTGCGCCAACATGAAGGAGGCATACAGCTCCACTGCCTCCTCGGTAGTACAGACTACAACCTGATACACAATGTGCAAGTGAAGGTGCGGTCTAAAGAAGATGAGAAGGTCCTGCATTACTGGGAGAGACCACAGACTGGAGCCTGGTCTTTGAGACCACTCAGAATATATTCAGTTCTGTTGTTCCCTGTTTCTGTAACAATATGAGAAAGAAGGCCCAGAATGGCTATGGGGAGAAGCTTCTGTGCCTGGCTGCTAGCCAAACAGCTGACTACAAACTTCAGCTGGCTGCTTTGTTATGTTGATTTTTGAATATAATAATATAGTACTCATTAACAAATAGCGATTGGCAATGTGGGCTTATGTTATGACCGCTATCCTCTGCTTCAAAACTATGTGAGCAGCTTTTTACAGCAGAGCCATCACGGAAGATGTTTTTAGACATGACCTCTGGAGGAAGTCAGGAGGAATTGGGCTCGGACTCTTTCCACAGGTTGGCTTCACGTACGAACAACACAGCAGGAGGTTCTCAGCTCAGACGCATTCACAGCTACACATAAATCTCTGCTGCATTCAGGTGAGGGGTGGGGCAGGATGTGACAAATGAAGTAAGCTGCGAGAATCACATCACATTTGTTTACAGCACATCAATGTGGGACTTTTTGTTTTTGTTGTCTTTTTTTCATTTGTCTTTCTGCTGCTGCTATATTTCTAACCTGGAGATCAATGAAGAGTTATCTCATCTCACCTCGAGTGGGCTCCATGTAATCAGCTGCAGGCGGACTAACGGGTTGAAGAGTTTGGGCAGACAGAGGCCAATGTAAGCATCCCTGTAGCAGTCTGCGTATTCTCTCCTCCACACTTCAAAATGGGACTTGATGCAGTCAAGAGAATGAAAATCGTCCACCACGTCCTCAAATACTTTCTTACATTCCCTGCTGATACGATCTGGTTGAGACAAAAGGCTTCAATAAGTGATGACCAACATAATGTCTGATGTGTGTTTGTGTTACATCACATCTAATCTACTATCAATGGTTGATACTGTATTTCTGCAGCAACTTCATGACAAACCTTTCTCCATGGTGAAGCTGGTGATGTCGGTAGACGTTTCCTCATCATCAGACGATAAGCCTTCATTGTGTTCGGCCCTCTTTCCATTCTGCTCTCGAGCTTGTCGCCGTCGAGTTCTGCACTCATCCACGAGCACAAAGGAAGATGTTAAAACCAAGGTCAGAATGTTTTGTATTTAATTACCTGTGACCAGGCAAACCAAGCAATAATCAAGACTGCCTTTTTAATGAATAAAGAACAGAGGGCGATAGTCAGATATGATTTTTTGGCATTTCTTAGTCTGAAACATGGAATCTTGGAAAAATTCTTTAAGTGCCAATGAACCTCGTACCGTCGAGCTTCTCTTTCTGCTATCCTCCTCTGACGACTGTGCTCTTGGTATGCTGCGCGGTCACGACCAAATGAGTCTAAATTAGGAGCCATGACAGCTTTATCTGCAAGAGACAGGAGTCATTTTAGAACCAGTTATGAAAAGCAGAGACAACCCACAATCTAGTTTTAGTATGGACACTCAATATTAAGATATTCTGAGATCAGAAAGGCACAAGGACTGTTTTAAACCATTTTAAATTAGCTCAAACATTTTGCTAAATGTACCACCAGCAATACAAAATCATATCTGTTCCAAATAATTTTGATATCATTCATGTTCTAGTCACTTACCTGTCTGCAACTTCCTACATGTTACAGCGAAAGTGACAGATGACAAGTCACTAATGTTTTTCTCATCATTACTTAGTGACTGATTGCTTGCGCTGAGTTACAGGCACCCAGCTGACTGTGAGACTCAGCCACTTATGAGAAGCCAAAGCAGCTCCTCCAGTAAAACATCTCTATTGCAAGTGCAAGCTCACTCACTCAAAATCACATCACAATCACCCTTAAGCACAGTAATGAGGGAAACATAAAGGGGGTAGTGGGAAACAAGAATGTGAATAACACACACATACACACACACTCACATACAGAGAACTAACGAGGCCGTTCAAATAAATCATAAAAACCTTCAAGATGGACTGACTTGAAAGGCTTGCAAACTCCGACGATTCATCTTTAATATCATCCTGTCTTCTCTGGACAAGTCGTGAGGCCCGTTGCCTTAGTAACTGGTGCATGGCAGCCTCCAGCTCCAGGACAGCAGGCACCTGAAAGATATATTGCCTTCTGTGACCTCTGATCCAAACAAAAGCGGGACTCCGAGTCATGGGGATGTCTTGCTGGAACATGATGGACAATAAAATACTGGAAACCAAATATTGTAGTGTCGAGTGAAAACTGAGTTTCTATAAAATATCCGTTTCCCCTCAGAAATAACTATCAACTTTCAAACAGCCAAACCCAATTATAGGCCTAGATAGATACCTTGTGAAACAAATGCATTATAACCACTAAATTAGTCTTAGAAGGTTTCTACCCAACACTGACAACATACAGTTCCAGTCATGATGTTTACGCTGATATAATGGACTCCATACTAAGTCATGCTGATAATGGATGGTTAGTGTCCCGTTTCCGTCACAATGTTCTGTGCACTCAGAGTCACCTGACAGAATTAAAACAGACATTAGTGAAGATGAGGAAATATCATCAGCTGACAGGCCATTCCGTCTAGTTCCGACCCTGCTGCTGCAGGATCAAGGTTTAGTTATTGTGTTTAGACATGCATTTATTTAGCAGCTACGGGAGTAAAAACATAGTTTGTGCCAGAGGCGCTATTTTATCACGTATTACCAAATTGGACTCTTCCTCTTTAAACAGATCCAACACACAGATTACAGATCCTGTGTGTATATCACTAAGATGGGTTGTCATAAAGCACCAACTCATTTTATAACTTTGTTTACTCACTGTATGAGTAACAATGAAAAATAAAGGAATTCTGTTCAAGACATTGAAAACATTAAACAGCCTGAGATAAATTTGCTTCTACAGAAAAACAATTTATAAAGGTTTGTTAATGAGATAACAGGTCAAAGTTATATTTCAGACTAAAATGAGCTGTTGTGAAGCAACTGGAAAACACACAGTGCTCCAAACAACTAATCTTCAGTCACACTGGTTTGTTAGTACTGCTACGAAATATAACTATGGCTTTTCATGATTCTTAATTCACTCTCCGCAACAGTTTGTATTACATTCTATCTCTTTAAAATCCACATCAAGTGGTCAGAGATCACACAGACACAAAACAGCTAATCAGACAGCAGACAAATTCTCCCTTACCTTTTCATTGAAACACTCAAGCAAGTCTCCAACATACCCTCGCATCTCTTGCAAGAATTTATATTGCTCTGCATTATCACTGGACGAGCCCTCCAGCTGCTGTATGGTGCTCTCAGAGGCAGCTAGGTCTTCTTCGATCTGTTTGTAGCGCTTGGAGTTTGCATTGTGGCCTGCATGCATTTGGCAGAGTCTACAGGCACATGACATACGGGGAAGACAGTAAGAAAGGATGACTTAGACCAGGCTGATGAAATACAGAGCTAATCTAGTTTTAAATGGTGACAGTTTGCAGAGTGCATCCATCAATTAAACAAATCATGATAACAAATTAACAGGCGACAATGTGCTAGAATGATGTTGGCTGAACACGAGTCTCTGGCCCTTAGATCTGTGGACTGCTCTGCTGGGTTTTCAGGACCACAGCACAAAGAGTTGGCAGCAGCTGAGCTGACAACTCATATTAGATGTTGCAGCAGTCTTCCACTGAACCTACCTATCCTGCAGGCGCTTCTTTACCAGATCAATGGTTACTGGGGTTAGATCACTAATAGGAGCCCCGTAGTGAACAGAGCCGTTGTCTGCTCGACCAGTTGGCTTGCCAGTCTGTGGGGCTACAGTGCTGTAGGTGAAAGGGATGCTGTAGGAGGAGCCATAGGGCTGGCTCTCATAGCTGTTCTGGTAGTAGACTGTGTTGTCCTCTGGCTGGCTGCTCTGGACCTGGACCTAGAAACAAGGCATATACAATTTTACCACTGCAACTTACAGCCATGCTGCTTCTAATCACAATTCATTAGAGTTGCAATTAACAGTTATTTACACTTATTTATTCCATTAAATGTTGGGACTGAAAGTGACATCTTCAAATTGCTTCAAACCTCAGACATTATTGCTTGACAAATAATTAATTTATCAGTTGTCAAAATTCTTCATGATTCATTGTCAGTCTTAGAGAAATGAAAAGTATTTTACAGCTGTTAACAGACATAGTAAAGCTTACCTGGGGTATACTGATTCCTTTTCTAATCTGCTCCTGCTCCCAGCGGCTCACCTCCTCATCCTGACCTGTATCTAACGCCTCATCATCACTGCCCTCGATACCTGAATGTGGTAAGGAGTGGTTAATGTCTTAGAAACAATCTGATTTACAACTGTACGGTACAAATTAATGGCTTGTTGGCAGACTGTAACTATAACAGTACCTATCTCCTCCGCAATCTTTTGTCTCTGGCTTTTGTTCTTGACTCCGCTAAAGCGGATCCTCTTCTCCTCTTCGTCTTCATCGTCACTGGCGTCTTGGTCTTCTCGTACCAGACGCTTCTTGGGGGTCTCTGTGTCTACCAGTGGAGCTTCACCCCCCAGTTCTCTAGCCATTTGCCGCCGCTTTCTGGCAGCATGGATGAATGCTGCGTCAGGGATCTCACCTAAAATAAAATAAAAATTGGTTTTGATCCTGAAGTTCTTTTGTGGGGGTTTAAGGACTGGTGCAAAATTCTGCTAATGAGCCCTCTAACTATGAGCCATGCAAACCACTTTCTATTCCTACACCCACACCCCAGTGCTCCCACTACAATCATCCCTCCATCTCTTGGGCAAAGAAAAAGTAAAAATATGCAGAACAAAATGAGGTTAAAAGAAGCAATACTACTTGAATAGAATATTTCTATCGTCTTAGGATAAGAGTAAATAAATGCAAAATTGTCTTGACAAACTTAAGCATGACACCGTCTTTCACAAAAATGGTGCCACAGCACTTTTAAAGTCACTACCACACTAAAGTGCAGCTTCACATCTTTTTCTTTAAAAAAATGTGGTAGAAGCAGATAAAGAAGCATGGACACAGCCTTAACCTTCATAAATGTGCCAGTGATTAAAGTCAAAACACTGAACAAGCACGTGTATGATACCTGGTCTTAGGCTGCCGAGGGAGGAAAGTGTGTTGAAAGATGATCCGGTGTTGTTGCTCTTGGCCACTTGACTATGTGCCTGGCTGCCTTGACTCTTTGCCTCTTCCTCCTGCTCCTCTGTACTGTCCACCTCCATCTCTTCTTCCCCATGCTCACTACCTGCAGCACTAGTAACCTCTTCTTTGATGGCAACAGGAAGCTGAAGTGTTGCATCTAGGAAAACAGGATACAAAAACACATGAGTCAAGAGGGTAGCAGATAAAAATGGCAATCAATATTTCGGATATGAAATCTTCTATTAAAGGTTCAGCATGTAGAATGTAGTGATATCTAATGGTGAAGTTGCATGTTGCAGCTGACTACCCCTCACCTCACCCTCCCCTTTCAAACATGAAAGAGAACCCGTGGTAGCCTTCAGTTGTCATAAAAACTCAAAGGGTGTTTACTTTGTCCAGTCTGGGCTACTGTAGAAAACATGGCGGCCTCCATTGAGAGGACCCGCTCCTGATGTAAATATAAAGTATTAAAATATAATGATTGATCACACACTTGTTAAAAATTCACTAGGATTACTCTATATTCACTTCATGCCGATATATCCCTTTCGCCAAATGTGAATCGATCTCTGCAGAGACTCATATGACACCAAATGTTTTTTTTTAATTTTAATATGTGCACATTGTCAAAGTTTAAACTACTTTTAATCAGAACCAACATCCTGTTGCCTGGTATTTGGTGACACAGGCTGCAGCTGGATGTTCAGCTGGGCAGGTTTCTTTATTGGTCAGTAATGTGACAGTAGAGATGACAAGAGATAAATGACATGAACAGTGAGCTACTACTCCCACCTGATTTGATTTCCTGCTTGACACATCCAGACCTCTCCAAATCCTCCTTGTATTCTTTCTTCAGCTGTTTCGCGATCTTCTTGCTGTGGTAGGATTTCTTCACTCTGAACACCTCGGATCCATCTGTTTACATACGAGACAGTGTGAGTGAGTGTAGTGCATCATGCAGCCCAACCCGGGTTAAGTGGTTGAATCCCAAGAAAAGTGCTGAGGCAGTTAATGCAATTATTAATACGATTTCCGTGTCAGCAGAAACAGAGGGAACATACGCTGCCCGGTGAGGACAACACGTTTTCTCCAGCTAAGATCACCTAGCTAGCTGACTTAGCATTGCTTTAGCACGTTACCTTCGTCATCGTGGAAACTCAGCAAACTGGCTTTGGTGGGTCCTGGCACCACAGCGACGACATCTTTCACTTTCTTCTCCCTCTTGACAGCTCTCACGCTGTTGAGGTTTGACAGGAAGCCGTTGCTGTGGAAGCTGTCTGCGCTGCTGGGGGCTGCGGTGAAGCTGCTGCTGCTGCTGGAAGTCTCCATGAACGGGATTTCCTCCACAAAAGGCCCGAACGATGTGGGCGCCAGCGGGGGCTGCTGGCCCTCCTCCTGCTCGTCCTCGTCCGACTCATTTCTCCGACGGAAATTCGCTCGTTTCGCCTTTTTAAACATCGTGCTCCCCCGTTAAACGCAACAGCACATGCCCGAACACCTCAAAAACTACAGTTGGAGCCAAAAGAAACCATCCACACACTGACCGGCAGCCATTTTCCTTTAGACGTTTTTCTTCTTCTTCTCTCGATTTTCTGGCGGATCGCAAACAATTTAAGGTGCATACCGCCACCTACTGTACAAGAGTGTGTAACATCATGTCATTTAGATAGATAGATAGATAGATAGATAGATAGATAGATAGATAGATAGATAGATAGATAGATAGACAGACGGATATCTGGATAGATAGATAGATAGACAGACAGACATATATCTAGATAGATAGATAGATAGATAGACAGACAGATATCTGGATAGATAGATAGACACACGGATATCTAGATAGATAGATAGTTAGACAGACAGATATCTGGATAGATAGATAGACACACGGATGTCTAGATAGATAGATAGATGGCTAGATAGTTGGACAGACGGATATATAGATAGATAGATATCTGGATAGATAGATAAACAGACAGATATCTAGATAGATAGATAGATGGCTAGATAGATAGACAGATGGATATCTAGATAGATAGATAGATAGACAGATATATCTAGATCGATAGATACTTTATTGATCCCGAAGGATATTTAACAGAATTCCTTAAATTCTATATCAGCCCTGTGCCTTGTGATTTCTCATATTCCTTCTTCTGTCCTCAAAACCCCCCATTACATCTGAAGACAGGCACAAAAAGAATGAAAGACAATTTAAAATAATCACACATACAGACACTCTCACACCTCTTTTCTCCCTCCTCTCAAAAACCATCTCATCTCACTCTAGCTTACTTTCATTCACCCCATTATCTCTGGGCTCCGTCCTTCACATGGTTTTTGTAAAAAGTCCAGACATGAAAGATCCAGATGCACACCTCTGAAACTGCACCCTCCTGCTCTAGTGTCTGCGTGTTAAACATGTGATGAGAGCCGGAGCATATGTCTCCACCAATAGGAACAGATAATATGTATTCTGCACTTCCAGCTCACTCAGCTCCTTAATAAATGCCAGACATGTGAGCTGCAGTTAGTGAGGGTCATTACAGAGCCATTACTTGACACAGTGTAGTCGACGCTGTGGTAGTGATAATAACTGCCGAAATTAAAGTGTCACCGCTGATGAGGCCAGAGTGATATGTTGTGATTAATTAATGTCAAGATGACCCTTTGCCATTAAAGCGATAATTGGAGATAAATATCTTCCCGTTAATGGCAGCATTCCAGTTTTAAAGTCCCAGAGCCATTTTTCCTCCCATAACAATACTTTGCTGAGGAGCAGAGTTAACAGAGCAGAAGACGTATTCTAGTCCTATTGTGATGCAGTGAAAACTATCCTGGAACCCTAAAGCAGTGTGGTTATTTCCATATCACAGTGTATTTAGGCTCATACTTCAGTGTCATATATATATTTTTTAACATATTGTTTGTCTTATGTAATTTATTTATATGTTTTTTTTGCAGCCCTTCTAATTTCATTACATGCAGAGCTTACAACGACAATAAAGGCTTTCTGATTTTGTATGGATGACTGACTTAGTTACATAATCATGTATCATAAATCAAGTTAATAGTATTTTGAATTCCTACCTCAAAAACATGTTTAAATGCAGCAAAGATTATTATTATTATTATTATTAGTAGTAGTAGTAGTAGTATTAGTGTCAATGGATGTAAAATGTGCAACGTTTTGGAAATGTAGCATTTATATTTACATTATTTATATTTATCAAGTATATTAATTCCTATCAATCTCATATTTAATATTGTGCGGAGGTGAGCTTTCCTGTATACACTGTATACTGACCTGTATAATAGGACAAGATGACAAAAAAGTGTGAACATAATGTAAATACTTTGCTTGCTGGCTCTTGATAATTCAGGTTATTTATTTCAAATTGTAAATTTTTAGTACAATTCAGTGCAGTAGGAGAACCTTGGATATTTATACTGCACACCAACCAACCTATCAGTGTGTGTGTGTGTGTGTATGTGTATGTGTATTGTGTTATTGACATGGAAATGAATATGTTGTTCCAGGGAACAATTTGTAAGTGCTGTCATATCCTAATTCTCATATTCAGAATCCATACTTACCTGTTTTGATGTGATAGTGTTTAACGTTGTGGTCAGCCTCATTAGCTGGAACCAGGTTGTAGAGTCGAGAGACTCTCTGCACCACAGGGGATTTTAAATGAGACACACAAACGTGGATCGATTGTTCTTCAGCGCTTCCACCGTGGAGGAGATGAATCAAAAATCCTCTTGGGGGCACTGCAGACCCTCGCAACAGAAACGCTGCGTCTTATGTGTGGCCAAGGTGCTGCTCAGGGTTCACTTGTGTATGAATGCTAATGAAATACAATGACATTTCCTGATCCAGTGAATGTATCTGGAACAAGCCAGCATGAATATAGATGACATCAATACTGCTACTCAAAAGTTCATAAGGCTCATCAAATCACTCCTCTCATCACACAGAGGAAGCTGTTGATGTGTGTGATTATTTGTAAAAGCAAATCAATCTGTTTTGTGTGTCATTATTTGTTTTGTTGTTTACGTGCAGGGGTCTGTAGTGAAAGGAAAGCAAGGGAGTCTGTCTTGTTTTTTTCTTATGTAGTGAAACAGGAGTGATGCCATTTTAAATTGCTGCTGCTGTTGCAGTGACTATAGAACAAAAGTTATAGAAGCCAAGGTTTCATTTGCACTGATGGAACAAACATCAGGGTTGAATAACTCGTCTTATTAAATACACGGCGTGCACGTCGGGAGGTAATGAAGACGAAATGAGAATAAAACAAGAGGCGCAGTAATGAAGCAACAAGAGGATCTGCACCCTCCACCTCTTATTGACCACTTAATGCAAGGCTTTGTATATTAAGACCCCAAATTAATTGTCATTTAAAACAGAAATTGCACAGAAATCCTAAATGAACACAGTTATGTTTCACATTGTAGACTGTCAGCTTTGTTTAAAGACATCTATCTAATTTTAGAGCTCTTCATATGTCCCGGTGCTCTCAGGTAATAGCACCCTTTCAACACAGAATAATAATCCTGCGATACAAGCACACATACAAAGCTGCAGAGCCGGACTGATGTGGATAACTAATTATATTTATCTCTAACGGGGGCTCGGGATTTCACCAAGGTAATTTCTGTTTAGGCCCTTTGTGCTATGGTGCTTTATTCCTCCTAGTGGCCATTCTCACCATCAATCACTGAGATGAAATCAAGTAAGTAACTGCCTCTGTTACCACGGACACAAGCTATTTGAACACAAATGGACCTAAAAGCTTAGAAAAACAAGAACACAGACACATTTGGACTCTTGAATCCTCACACAGAGAGACAGAGTTAATCAATGAACAGTGCCACCCTTTCTGTTATAATGTATCTTGGAGGAACTTCAGTGAATTTCTGCATTATTCTCCTCTGCCTTCTGCTGCTCCTGTCACAGAGCTCCCAATACATGGTGGCGATCTGAATTGATTATGGGTGCAGCAGGTATGTGTTTGTCTCCGGCGTTATCCTCGTGAACACAGCAGTGACCTCCATCTGCCTCCGTCATGCATTAGAAACACATTTGATGTTACCTGTCTCACACCTCCTTTTCAGCTCCACTGCTCCCCCAGGCTGCCTCCCCTCGTCCCACCTACCGAGCAAAGCTGTTGTTTTCTCTGCCGAGAGCGCAGGGGAAAAGTGACAAAATACTTTTTTTTGTTTAAGACAGAAAAAGTATGAGGAAGAAAGCTGTCCCAAACTACTGCATCAGCAGCATCACCTATACTCTAAACCAACTCTCTTGTCACTCAAGATAACAACAAAGCCTGGTCGCTGGGAGACCTGGCTATAGAGCGAAGCAGCGTGGTTTGGGAGGCAGAAAAAACATTCATTTTCTGAATAGACCATCCAACGTAGATTCCCCAAAAGCTACGAGATTGCGAAAACAATGGTTTATGCTCCTCTAGACCAGAGGTTGGTATGATATGTTTTATGAAAAACTTGTTTTATTTGCGATGTAGGAGAAGTATTACACTACCCACAATCCTCAGGTGTCACAGTGACATCTGTAATTGCTGGAGCTTGCTGTTACCATGGAAATGTTTCCCACAACTGTGAAAATCATGCCAGCTACGATTGGATGGTTCATTGTAACATCATGCTTACCACATAACAAGCATGATTTCACTTTCTAACATGCTGCAGTGTTTTAGAGATGAGGAAAAGAATCTTCTTCACTCTTGATTGATTATGCAGTCCTGTATCTTTAACTTTTGGGGCAAAGAATATATTGGAAGACGTTCAAGGGATAAAACTCTATTTATAAGAATTTTCTGAAACGTAAATGGAGAAAATGAATGGGAAATGTACTTCTTGAACCAGAGCTATTGTAAAAGTGTCATATATCCTGTCCATGTTCAGGAACTCCATCAGGACTTCAGCTCACGTTTAAAGCGTGTACCTCCTCTGACAACATCTCCCACCCGGGTGGGCTTGTAAGTACGCACTGCACTTGTATTGAGGATTCAAGAGCAGCACACCCTGATCTGTAGCCCCTCACAGTGGAGGAACAGAAGCACCATTTCAGAGAGCACCTGAGAGCACAGCAGGCAGAGGCTAAAGTTGAGGAAGGGGATGAAGGCGATGATGTGCCTGATTAAAGAGAACAGGCAGAGAAAATGATGATGTTTAAACCCACTTTGAAGCTTGAAACTGGTAAATAAATGATGTGCTCAAGAAAACGGGAGAAATGGCTGCAGCTCCTACACCTGCGGCTCAGTGCTTAAATATTCATTTCCTGCCATAGTTACACACGCTTGAGTGCATGTATAGAGCTCAGAAGAGTCAGCGCGTGTGTTTTCAAAGTGATGCACATTGACTTTGGAAAATGTGTGTGCTGAGAGACGCCGCTGTCTTCAAGTGCGAGAGAAGAAGAGAGTTTAGGATTTATTTTCCTTCGAATGATCGACTCAAAAAATCCTCAAAAACTCCCTCATCAGCGGACAACAGACGCGAGAGCCCTCCCTGCTTTTCATCCGCTCCTTTACTGTTCTTTCATCCCAGCAATGCTCATAAT